ATATTATACAGTAAATTACTCTATTGTATGATAAAACTGATGTGTTTGAGTAAAGAAGCTTACCGTTTTTCGTATCGTATACCGTGCAACTGATTTAACCGGAAAAATCGACTGTCTGATGTAATATTTCTACAATACCTTACTCACAAGTCATAAGACAAGAACACGCAAATCATAGTTGGAAAAATATTGTATATTATTTTAAGCATGTAATTTCTGAGAAAGTGAAAAAAAATTAAAAAACTGTTTAAGTTAAGTAACAACTGGATTTTTTTTTTATTGAACCGATAACTAATAACCGTGGACCTAGATGTCTCTGTACTGTAAAATTATTTAAAGTTGATAAGGATCATCAGCAAACATTATAATTTGTTATCATTCCATACAACCAAACAGAAAAAAGTAGAATTATGTTATGATCTGTGTTTACTCAGTTTACTGTTTAGTAATTAAAATTTGAAATTGTTTGGTGTTCACGATAGACTAAAAAGCGACAACAGCATTTAATATTTAGTTRTAATTAGTAATACTTTGTACCAAAAAATTCCYAATTAGAAATTTTGATTTACATAACATTGAGTACAGTTTGGTTTTATCAAGTTTAAGCATTTTAAATGTGTCTTTTTATGTTAATATTGTAATATGTATAATATATTTTTTTAACATTTGAGGTTTATATTTTCCTCTTAAAATGGGTGTTACAGTGTTAGTATCTCAAATGTTTTATTTTTCATTTTTAGATTATGAGTAACTACTATATATCTTGTATCTATTAATCTTGAATTTTTGTAGTATACAACAGTTTCCAATGAAAGAAAACCGTACAGGTGCTCAGATAATTGAATTTCTTACAAAAAGAGTAAATGCACTTGGTGCCAAACAATGTGGTACATTTCTTGTTGACTGTGAGACATATGCATCTATACCTCAATTAGGTGAGTTATAACTAAATAATATTAAATTTGATAAAAATGATCTAAAAAAATATTATGTCTAGGTGTCCAACGAACATTACATGTGTTTCATAATTCAGAACAGCCAGCATCGGTGTTTGCAATCCTTGATAATGGTACTGGAAAAACTGTGCCTGTTGTAGCTGATGCATTATTTGATTTGCTTTTGTTGAAAATGTCATCTGTGTATACCTCTAAAAAATCTAAAGTTGAAATTAGAGGTCCAAGATTTGAGCTTAACGATTTTATTATTAAAATTGGTGCTATAAATATTAACCACAATGTTAAAGGCATTATTGTGGAGGTAATAAATAATGTAATTTGTCTCATGTGTTATTATAATAACAGTTTTAAGAAATGCTTAAATTGATTATAATATTTAGTACATTTATTTTAATCAATTAATCGTTCTTAGGTTTTATTATAATTTATAGAATATCTATTTGTATAAATATAATAAAATATAACTTTTGGAATTCATTTTTAGATGCATTATGTGTAATTGAAATTTTTTAATGCGGCTTGATTTTTATTTCAGGCAGAATATAGACCTTGTGTTGTATTTGGCTTTTGTTGGGATTTGTTACGAGAATTTCTTCAAGGGTTCTTAGGATCTTGTGTATCAAATATGCCGCCACATTATTTTCAAGTAAGTAAAAAACTAACTTTTTTTAAGAGTTAGGTATGTACATTTGTTGGAAACAAAATACACCTAACCTATCCATTAATCATTGTAAGAAACTTAATTTTTGTCCAAATTAGGTATCTTAATCAAACAATTTTCATATATATTTTTAGGTTTATTTAGTAAGAACTAATTTTAAGGTTTATAGTGTAAAAATTAATTTTCACACAAATTAYGAGTCATACTAAATGAACGAACAAAGAAAATCATTGTATGTATAATTCATAGATTCTGAATGAATAGGGTGACTATTATTTTGGTTTATCTATCAGTCATCAATTAGAATATACAAATATGAATGTTTGATATACTACCAAAATTGGAATGAGGGGTTAAAATGATATAATACTGTATTATGTATAAATGATTTACTCAGTTATCAACATGAGTCACACATTTTATGTAATCTTAATTACTGTAGATATGTAAATACTAGAAAATTGGGACTTGTTTGATTTTTACTGACTTACCAAATTAGAGAATGGTCCCACAACCTATAATCTTTCAATATTATTATTATCACTTGATATTAATGAATTATAATGATGTATTTTATAATATATTTTTCAGAATCGTATGAATGATATTTTTCAACCGCTGGACACTATTCAACAATACTTAGATCATATAACTATTTATAGAAAAGCCACTGGAATTTTACAACAGTATAATACCAATAATACTTAAATACATTATGTATATACACACACAAACATATATATATATATATTTGCACACTTAATCCTTTTTTGTGTTTACAAAAGCCAAAATGTTTTAAATACATTTTTATTATCAATAATTAAAAATCATGTTTCAGCTACTTTTATAATAATATAATAATATAATAATGAAAAAATAATGTAATATATTACATACATTTTTTGAATAGCCTTAATCATATTTTATTTGACTCTCTGTTATAATCTTATACAATGCATATTATTATAGAGTGTGTATTTTACAATATTTACTCAATGGTATTAGATAAAATACAAATTCAAATAAATATAARATTAAATAAAACTTCAAATCATGTTACTAAAATGTTATGATTTGTACACATGCATAATAAAATTAAACCTAAACTTAATTAGAATCATTCAGTAATGAATACACAATTAAGTATGAATATAATAAACATATTAAATGTATACAATAAAATAATAGGTGTAATTGGCACAAATACACGCAATTAATATTTTTATAAACCTTAAATTAAATTATTAACAAAAAGCTTGATGACATAATGACTTATCGAATGTTAAAAAAAATAATTAAATATATTTTAGGAAAATTGAATGTGATAGATAAAAATGAAARAACAATGAGTAAAATAAAATAAAAACAATTCTTGGGCTGAAAAAAAATGTTTTACTATTTATTTATAATTTGTGGCTTCATACATTACTATAATGCTTTAATATTAGTTGAATTTTTATTTTTATAAATTCAAATGTCAGATCAAACTTGTCAGCCTTTTATGGGTTGTAATAAAAAATAAATACTTTATTCGAATATATTTTGATCACTTTTTATACATGAACATTWTAATCAAATTATACACAGAACCTACAGTAATGCATTATTATTAAAAATTTAAATGTACAAACAATACATTAGTCTATACGGATTACAATTTTTCTAAAACCTTATGGTTACAAGTTATGATCCATATTATTTTTGACTAATTAGATACATTTATAATAAAATTTAAACACAAAATTATAATTTATCACATTAAATTATATATAAATATATTATAATACAGTTGAGTAATATTCTACAGTAAAATGATTTTGCTAAAATATTTTGAACAACAAGGAAGCCAAATGTTTATAGTTAATAATTTAAGTATTTATGTGATCACTGTAAGTATAATTAGAAAATAAGTATAATATTAGTTATCGCATTAAATGTTTAAAATAAAATAAATTCAGTCAAAAAACTATAAATAAGTATTAGAGTAAAAAATAATTTTAAAATGTATAGCTAATAGTTTCAATACTATAATATGATTTAAAATCTATTAGCATAATTAAAGAAGAGGACAACAGTAAAATTATAAAAAAAAATGGAATTATATATGAACAAATATGTTATAGATTAGATAAGTTTTTCATMATTAAAGAAAATTAATTTCAACATTCGTCTATAAACATACAAATGGTTTTAAATATTTTACTTCAAGAAATTAAATAAACTCAAGATAACTATAATAAGTATTAAAATCAAAATAGTATAACACATTGCACATTTATTATATAGCAGTAAACAGCCAATACTTCTTTAATAACAATTGTAATCATTAAAAAAAAAAATTAAATATCAAAACAAACAATTGATCAAAAATACTAAAGGTAAATTTTTAATGTGAGAAGGAAATAATTAGACTTAAAAATAGTCTAATGCTTATAATAACATAAAAAMTTAAAAAATTAAAAAAATAACAATTGTAATACTTTTTAAATTTAGGCCAATAGTTTGATAAGCTCTTAACTCTTCATAAATAAATTGCACACAAAAATGTTTGTATAGCACTATAAATGTTGATTAACAATACCTTTCTTATATATTTCAATATTATTTTTGGCATAAGAGCGCAAAGTAACTTAGGATGGGCGATATTAACATTTTTTGACTTTGATTCTCTTTTTATTTCAATATTAATAGCATTTTATATTTGTATAATATAATATTTATACTTAATTTTCAACTATTTAATAATAATACTAATTTTAATTATTGTAAAAAAAATTTAAATACTTTTACTAATACTAATAAATTGAACCAATTTTTTAGTAGTTTTTATTGAAAATCAATCATTCATAAGCGCAGAAAACTTTTTAAATTTTTGGTTCACAATTTCACATATAAAAGAATGCATTTCATTTAATGATTAAATACAAAAATTGATACTGATCGGCTATCAGTGTCATTAAAAGTATAACTAATTAAAATAGTTAAATCCAAAAAAAAAAATAGATGCAATTGAGTTTTATCAAATAGCATTGCATAACTAGGGCTCGAAAGTTAAAAGATTTTCAAATTTTTTTATACATACACTTACTTAAAAGCAGACCAAGCAAGAATCTATTCTATACAAAGACATGTTATAAACAGATTATATTTTTTTGTRTTTATTACATTTTTTGAGGTAATAAAAAGTGAATTTTTCTACTATTACAAAAATATTTTTATAATATACCATTTAATTAATCTTTAACTTACTAAAAATTAATAAATGTCCAAACATTGGTAAGATATAACACGGATGACCAGTGCCAACAACTTACATACACAAATAAACAGAATATAATAGATTATTTACACATTTGGGGTCCTACCTTTTTAATGTTTTTGACCGAAAAAACAATTTTAATTGACTACTATTTCCCATAGGTTATTTAATATATTATATTATAATAAATCGTTATCATTTCAAAAAACATAAAGTAAAATTACACTGCCACCATATTCTGTGTGTCAATGTTCAAAATTTTCTTGATATTTACAATGTAACTAATATTGTTTAAATAAAACAATTCCATTATTAATTTAAATAACCATTTAACTCACAGTGAAGTGGTTGAATATTTTGGAGATATATTGTGATAGGGATCGGGTTATCAAATAACTACTAATGATATATTTTTTCATAAAAAAATTTTAAGCATATTTTACTTGACATATTGCGGGAAATTAGATGTACATACATGAAACCAGTAACTATAATTTTTCAATTGATTTCCGTTATTATCATGTGAGTAATAAAAATAGAAACTATAACATTTTACTGCTACTTAAATATTATAACTTTTATACAAAATTATAATTTTTAATTTTTAAGTTTTTGTTATACATAATATGTCGGTAAAAATAATTTTTCAGCCAAAAAGCTTTAAAATTTAATATAGGAACCCCTTATAATTTGCTTAAMATTTTAAAAAGCTGTTATACACACGCAACATTTTTTATTTAATGCAAGTTTAAATTTAAATTTTTAGTTATATAGCTACACAAGCTAATATCACAAAATCAAATATATTGTTATACTTTATTATGCTTTGAACATAAACTAGTTATAATATGATCTAAGACTTTATGCCAAAATAATATTTAATTTCATTCTGTTAATGTGTGTATGTAAGTTATTTACACTGGTCATTTACAGATTATACTACTAACCATAGCAGAGTGTCAAGACAGTAATCAGTAAAATATAATTGTTTTTTGCACATTTTATTTTTTTATTTTTTTGAGTATTCATTGATTTTAATTCCTATAACATCCAAGCACTAATTACAACAGTACTTAATTAATATATTGTAAGAATACTTCTAATTCATAAACTTTTTCAAGATTATACACTATTAATATCTTAATCTTAATAAATCACAAATAATGAAATTACAAGAAATTGAAAATTGAAAAAATTTATAAATATGCAACATTGGCAAAAGCTAATTTTATTTATATACATTTGTGATCTAGACTTGTCTTTTTATTAAATATAACCTTTTCCACTGATTTACTTAATAATGGTTACCCAACCATTTAATGTGGACATTATAATTTAAATAAAAAAACGATATAATTATTTGGTTTTAAAAAAAGAATAAAATTTTAAATTGCTTTCTACATACAATCATTAGGTATTTAATTATTCACAAATCATTATACCTTAGGTTTGAATAGCAGTTGTCATTTCTCTGTGTATTGCAGCCAATTCTTGTATACGGACAAATAAGCTATTGTTAAGTGTATCTATAACACGTCGTTGTGATTCTTGTGCTGCCATAGCTGTTTCCAATTGTGCTTGTGCTAGACTGACAGCAGCTTGAAGTTCCGCGTTCTCTTGACTAAGAACCTAAAAGGGATAAAAAAAATATAGAATTTAAAAATTACATTTTTTATTTTCAATAAAATATACGAGGTGTGTTCAAAAAGTACCCGGAATTTTCGTTTTTCAAAAAAAAAATTTATTTATTCGTCTACATCAATGTGGTCCCCTTCAAAATAGTCCCCCCCTGATATAATACACTTATGCCAGCGATTTTTTCCAATCTTCAAAGCACTCTTGATATTCACTTTTTGGCATGTCCTTGAGCACTCTCAGCGATTCGGCTTTTATTTCTTCAATCGAGGAAAAACGCTGTCCTTTCATGTGTCTCTTCAACATTGGGAACAGGAAAAAGGCACACGGAGCCATATCTGGTGAATATGGAGGTTGGGGCATGACTGCGGTATTGTTTTTGGCCAAAAAATTATGAACAAGCAACGACGAATGTGCAGGTGCGTTATCGTGGTGCAAAAGCCATGAATTGTTTTTCCATATATCGGGGCGTTTTTTTCGGATTGCTTCACGCAAACGTCGCATAACTTCAAGGTAATACTCCTTATTAACCGTACGACCTTGTGGTAAGAACTCTTGATGCACTATGCCATTAAAATCGAAAAAAACAGTAAGCAAAACCTTGACATTTGATCGAACTTGACGTGCTTTTTTCGCTCTTGGTGACGTTGAATGCTTCCAGGTGGATGATTGTGCTTTGGTTTCGACTTCATAACCATACACCCATGTTTCATCACTAGTTATGACCCTTTCAAGTAAACTTGGATCGACGTTGACGTCATTTAACAGCTCCTGAGCGAYGTTCATGCGATTGTTTTTTTGGTCAAAATTCAGCAGTTTTGGAATGAATTTTGCTGCCACTCGTTTCAAGCCCAAAACATTTGAAAAAATGTTTTGACATGAAACAATCGATATGCCAACTTCATCAGCAACTTCTCTAATAATTGTGATTCGGCGATCATTCACAACCATTTTTTCCACTTTTTTCACATTTGCATCGATTATTGACGTGCTGGGTCGACCGGAGCGTTTGTCATCTTCAACATCTTTGCGGCCATCTTGGTAACGCTTATACCACTCGTTAACAATTGTTTTTTTCATAGCAGACTCACCATAGGCTTTTTGTAACAGTTCACACACTTTGCTACACTTTATTTCATTTTTTACGCAAAATTTAATAAAAATTCTTTGACTCTTCAATTCTTCCATTGTTTAAACAAGCAAAAATCGCCGAGCTCATAAAAACACGTTAAACCTTAGCGACTACCACAGACAAAGTAAACAGTGATTATAGCTGAAAATGTTATCATACTTTAGGGGGATGTATATCAACACAATAACAAAAAATTTTGACAATCGGACTCTCCAGACCCATTAAAATAAAAAATTTCGAGTTCTTTTGAACACACCTCGTATACTTCAATTTTTTTATTACCTTGCATTTTTCTTCAAGTGGCATTCTATTCATAGTCATCTTTTGGATTTCTTCATTTTTACATTTTAATTCGCTATCGAGGTTTTCAACTTTCAAGCGTAAACTAGTTAACTCATTTCTTAATTCCGAAGCAACTTCTGATCCTCCTAAAGATAATAAGTAAAATATTATTTAACTTTCAAACATTTTTTTATTAATTTTATAGCATAAATTATAAACCAATTTACCTTTGGCTACTTCAGCATCTAGGTATCTAGTTTTCAATCGTTGATTTTCCTCTTTATACGATTGCAATTGACGTTTCCACTCATCTACATTAGCTGTACTTTCTTGCAATGCATTGGTTAATCTTAAGTTATTGTTTTTTAGTGTTTGAAGTTCAATTTCCCATTTTTTTGCGTTTGCTGAACTGAACACAGAAAGAACACAACAAATGTAAAAAATTAATACAATTTTTAAAACTTCAAATTAATAATGATAATTTTACCTATGAGTTAAAGCTAATTTTAATCTTTCATTTTCATATTTTAATTGAGATTCAGGTAACATTGAATTTCCACCACTCATGCGTCCATCATTGCTTCCTTGATGTTTTGGACTCTCTGCGGCCTAGATATAAAATACAAAATGTATGATAAAGTTGTTGTAAAATTTTAGTATTAAAATTCATTACATGATTAGCATTGGAAATCATAGTTTTAGACATTTGGTTAATCATTTGTTCAGTTGAATTAGTATCTTCAGGTGTAGTATTTGGATCTGTGGGTGTCATGTTGGGAGGTTCAATTATACTTTGACCGTCAGATGACTGACTAATACGAGTAGTTACAGGACTAGCATTAGCACTTGTAATTGGTGTTGTTGAACTCATAAATGATTGTTGAATCTGCTGTGGTCCACTTACTGCCGATTGTCTTGTTTTTTCTTTAACTTCTTCAAACTTGTGTATAAACTAATTAAATATTTAGATAGTATTTATTATTTAGAACAGGTAAGCTATATTTAAATATARATGTCTAAGATTGTTTAATTAATAAATACTTTATTCAGTTCTTGTTCAGAAGAAAACCCAAGACCATAAACAGTATTTGCCCTATTGTCGGTCCACTGACCAAATTTTTGTGATGTTTTTGTAAATGACATATTTGGCGTTATTGTACTGTTTATGACAGCCTAAAATATGTGAACAGTAAGAAATGGTTTATTAATGGTTACCTTTAATTTTAATAACATAAATTCATACTTTGCTTCCTTCTACACTAATAATGCGGTACAATGCCCGGTGGGAGTCGAAAAAGAATGAGACATTGACAGCCACTGTAGATGCAGATATCCATGACTTTTTAGTCTTGGGATCTATGTGAAATACATGGGCCTTACATGTAAATATYGGCTGCTCTCTATAATAAAAAATGCAATTTTGTAAGAATAGAATAATACACAAGCAAATAAACATATTATGTACCACAGCACTTACCCCATATTATCTTTTCCCAGAGTCATAGCCATCAACGAAAATTATATTGGAGTACGGAATTAGTGCCAATCGGTTCAACGGACAACTATAAATTATAAATTTACAAATCGCCGATATTTGGCACCTAAGTATAGTGACAACGACAATAATAATTTGCGCTATTTCCTATTTGTACGGTACAACGAATATTCCGTAAACGATAAAATGTACGAGTTATAGCTGGAGCCTGGAGGTACGACCAGGGTCCAGGACTGGGAGTCTGGGACGTTTTGCGGGCCGAATATTTGTTTATCAATCAATCCTGACGAATACGCTTTTCTGATAAGAAAACAGTTTGACCAGAAAATGCGCTTGCGCACCGCGGACCAACGCCCATTTGCGCGTGCGGTCTCGTTTATCACCATAGGTAACTACTTTTTTACTGTTTGTCTATAAAGAAAAATAATGTTTATCTTGTTCTCATTATTTTCATCATCACGTCTGTTATCACTGCAGATTGAAAACAAATAATAATAATAATAATAATAATGATAAAAATATTGATAAACATGTTATCACGATAATCTTATCTACGATGTTTATGTGACAATAATTTTATTAATAATTTTATTATTCATTAATATTGTTTTTAAAGAAAAATGTTGCGCTGAGTCTGTCGAATATTCAAGCTCCGAAATGCCAAATGCCCATGACCGTTAAGTGTTAACTGCCGACATCGACATATCCAGTCTTGGTGAAGAGTGTTGCCGGTGGTGAACTTTGTCTTTGTGTCATCAGAAATCATAGAATAAAAATAAACGTAATTTGATTGTGCTGCTCGTTGGTGTTGAATTTTCGCTACTAGTTTAATTGTTATGATTTTTATATTATATTTGCTGTTTCCAATTGATTGGTTGTGCAAGGATCGAAGTTGGTATTTATTATAGTTTCATAAATTTTCAGTCAAAGTTAACTGTCGTTTTCCTATTTTACTATGTTGTCTATATAGATTTTTACTGAATCAAGTTGTTCGATATGTATTAAACCATTAATTATTTCTATGCTTGCCCATTGGATTTCTATAATACCCAGGTATAATGTATAATCTGCAAACTTTGTTTTTCTTGTCTCTGAACTAACAGTTATGTAATGATAAAATGTGTTCTTTATGATACTTTTAGTGAGATATTTATTTATTTTGTTCCTTTAGGATATGATATGGGGGAAACTCAAGATACTGACACAAGTGCACTGATTTCCAACATAAATGATATTACAATACAAGATCCAGTAGTTAGTAATTMTGTTACTGAAAATGAGCCTGAACCCAGTGGTTCAGAACAGGGAAGTTCTTATGAAATTTTATTTGATCAACTTAAAGAAAATAATAAACATATATTTGTTTTAAGTACAGCTGGAAAACCTATATATACACGGTAAATATAATATTATTAGTAAGCATATGTGGAACAAATGCAATAGGAATGCACAGCCTTCTAAATAATATAATTGCAGTTGTACCTCAAAAATAACAATTTTATTAATTTTAATGTTTACATTTCTTGTATAGGTTTGGAAATGAAAACCAAATGGCCTCCCTTTTCGGTTTAATGATAGCTTTAGTGTCAGTGACTCAAGATTCAAATGACACATTACAGTCGATTTGCTGTGGCCAGACTCGAATAGTGTTTTTAAATAAAGATCCTATTATATTAGTTGGTGTTTCTCAATCTTCTGAACCTAATGACCAAATTAAAAAACAATTGACGTAATTTATAATATTCCATAAATTCATCTAAAACTAGGTTTTCAATTAATATGTGTTTTGCTTTTAGGTATGTCTATAATAATATAATTAGTACATTAACATTAACCCAGTTAAAAAAAATCTTCCACAATAGAACTAATTTTGATTTGAGRCGATTAATGAGTGGATCCGAAAGATTGATAGACAAGCTTATAACATTTACTGAAAATGATCCAGGGTTTTTATTGGATTCCATAAGTTGTCTACAAATGCCATCAAGTAGCAGAGATAAAATAACTCAAACCATACTGACTCAATGCAGTAAAATAAAAGTAAAAAATAATGATTTGTTTTAAATTATTTTACTCCATATTAATAAATGTTTGATATTTTTAGAATTTAGTATTTGGTTTATTGATTGCTCAAAAACACATTATATCGATTGTACGTATGAAAAAATACTCGCTGCATGTTTCTGATATTCACTTAATATTAAACCTAATCAATTCAACAGAATCGTTTAAAACAGCAGAGAGTTGGACACCTATTTGTTTACCTACATTCGATTCTAGGTAAAATATCCTTTAAATATATATATATTTTTAAGTTAAACCAAAATAATCTAATAATTGTGTTTACGTTTATAACTTTCAGTGGTTACATGCATGCTCATATATCATATCTGGCAGAGGATTGTCAAGCATGTCTAGTGTTGTTAACCATTGATCACAATCTTTTTTTTGCTCTATCTGATGCCAAAAGAAAAATCACAGAAGTTTGTTTCATTTACTTAATGTATTAATACTTATATTGCTTCATTTAATATTCATTAAGAACTATTGGCTGTGTGAAAATGTTATTTATGTACAATTAAAAAATAAAAACAAATTTTTTGTAACAGAAAATGCGTTGCAATGATTGTCTTCATACAATCAACGAGGCAATCATTCGCCAACCCGTCAGCTTAGCACGAGCAAATATTATAGGATTACGGCATCTTTTATACAAGAACAAAAACCGCTCACAACATTGGTGTCCTCCATTTACTTCTCCATACAATACCGACACACTACAACAAAACCTTATGTCAGTATATAGTTCATTAATCAGCCAAATGAATTTCCCTGGGCGTACATTGAAAGTGATTTTTCAACAATTAACTGCTGAAACTATGCTTGCTTGGGTWAGTAAATTATGRTATAATATTATGCATTGTATAATATGTTTATATTACGCAGAAGAATTATGAGTAATTTTGATATTATTCTAGGCAACTGACGATGTTGAATTGTATATGAGTTTTGAGCCACTAGTTTCTAAAGAAAGTGCAACAAATGCAGTAACTAAACTAATGCAATGGATGAAAAAAGAAGAGGATTCATTGTTTATATTTAATATTCCAATGTTTTAAATCAGCCATCATATGAAATTGATTCCAGAATATGTGATAATATTAATTATAATATTAATAGATAATATTTATATATATGATTATTGATTATATTTAAGAATTATAAATAATGGTCTTACATTTTCAACTTTTTAAGTTTCTCAACACTATCTTTACGCCAGTTAAAAAAATAACTTAAATGAGTAAAATTTAAAAAAATAATAATGAATGATAGTTAAATATTATGTTATTACATATGATATTTTTACACTTGTAAAATATAAATCATTTTAATAATGAATATATTAATTTGAGATTAATGATTGTCACAGGTTATGGATTTAAAATATTCAAACATCATGATTTATTACTTATTCAATGTTATATAAATTGTAAATTTGTTTAATACCTAACTTATTATTGTATTTATGTTTTACTAGTGTGTGCTATGAAGATAGTTATACAAAACAAACAAATAAAATTGTTATTGTTATTGTTGTTATAATCATCAAAATAATTGTTGATTTATTAATCCCTCCCCCTTTTCTATAATGATTCAATCATTATGATTGATAGTGTTATCACTCGTTAGAATTTTGAATTTGTTCTCTATTAAATATTTATTATTTACTACTTCTTTTTTTTTTGATCATTTATTGTATATAAAAAATAAAAAATAATGTGATTCTGTGGTTTAATTATATTGAATGTGAGTGCTGACCTATTATTATTATCTAAATTACACAATGAGTCAAAAGCAGCTAATCGATTCGACTTATGTTGTGATTGGTGGAGGTATAGCTGGTATAAGTTGTGTCGAATCTTTGAAATTGTATACAACAGAGTCAGTGCTTTTAATTTCAGAATCACCAATTGTTAAAGTGGTCACTGATGTAAAATTTTATACCAAAATTGCTGCGGGATTCAAAGTTGAGGACCGAAATCTCCAATGCATTGAGAATACAGAATATATAATAGATAAAATTATAGCTATTAACTCAATAGAGCACATAATTTACACCGCAAATCATCGGGAAATCAAGTATAAGAAATTGTGTTTGTGTACAGGTGCTACTCCAAAACTATTGGATGACAAAGATTATGTTATTGGATTGCGTGATACACATTCTGTGGAGTATTTTCAATCAATTGTTGGTTCTGCTAAAAGAGTATTGATTGTTGGTAATGGTGGTATTGCAACAGATTTGGTATATAAGTTAAATGCTATCGAAATTATTTGGGTTATAAGGGATGAACACATTAGTTCACATTTCCTGGATGCAGGAGCAGCAGAATTTTTTAGTAACTATCTAAACACTCAGCAACCAAGCGACAGAGTAATAAAAAGATTTAGATATTCAGGAGAACCTACCTCTGGAGCTGCACTAGGTCCTGACTGGCACTGTGGTGCAATGTTTGGAAACCTCGACGGTAAAAATGTCATAATTGAGTATAAGACTGAAATCAAAAATATTTCTAAGAGTGACCTAGTAAGGATAGAATTAACTAACGGCAAAGTGTATGAATGTGATTTTGTTGTATCTGCTACTGGAGTAACACCAAATAGTAACCTAGAAATAAGAGGCGATACAAGTATTGACATTGCTAGTGATGGCGGTATTAAGGTAGACTGGAAAATGGAAACAAGTCTGTCAGATATTTTTGCAGCTGGTGATGTATGCACAGTAGATTGGACTTCTGAACATTGGTTTCAAATGAGACTGTGGACTCAAGCAAGACAAATGGGAATGTATGCTGCCAAGTGCATGTATTTCAAACACACAAATGAAACATTGTTGCAAGACTTTTGTTTTGAACTGTTTACACATGTAACATCATTTTTTGGATTCAAAGTTATATTATTAGGATTATATAATGCTCAAGGATTGGACAAGAAGGATTGTGAGCTATTAGTCCGTGTAACCAATGGTCAAGAATACATTAAATTAGTATTGAAAAACGGAAGAGTTGTTGGTGCAATGCTTATTGGGGATACTGATCTTGAAGAAATGTGCGAAAATTTAATACTTAACCAAATTGATGTGACTAATTTAATGGATGATTTGTTAGATCCTAATATTGATATAGAAGACTATTTTGATTGAATTCAAATTATTTATTTGTTGAAAAAATATACATGTATTTATAAATGAAAATGTTATTTTACTTTCTGTAAGGTGATCTAGACCTATGTCTTCTAGATCGGTCACGATCATGACTTCTACTCCTTCTATGTCGGTCTCTATCTCTTCTATCGCCCCTATCACGATCTCTTCGATCTCTATCTCTATTTCTCTTTTCACGCTCTCTGTCTCTTCTTTTTTCTTTTACAGGCGAGTGTTTATTCCGGTGTTCCTTTTCTCTTCTTTTATCTGTAGGCTCTTCTTCATCTGATGATTCAACACCTTCTTCTATATCCTCTTCAAGTATTGACACTTTGGGTTCTAACTCATTGTTTTCTTCCAGCACATGTCTGCTTTGTATACGTGGTAATATAACGTCACAAACACGCTCATCTCGTAGCAGCGAATCAATAAATTCATCAACATATATGATCTCAAACTGGCCATCCCTATTTTGTTTTCTTAACTTACGACTGTCGGCTAACAATGGTTCCAGATATTTATAACAATCCACTGATGAACCTGTCAAACGCATATAAAATGCCCCAAGCGCACGGACATACTTGAATTCTTCGTTTTTTATGAACTCCACAATGATGTCTTTTTCTGGTTGTATTTGCAACATCTTCAACGTCAAACACAAGAAAGGTGTGGGTTTGATATTACCGCCATATACTCCTCCTATAAATCGCATTAACATAGCCTTATCCACAAGTAATTCGGCAGACAAAGCAAAGCATTCTTCTTTCCARAATTTATTGTCATAAATACGAGATCGAATGATCTTTTCGATCAAATACTGAGGATTAGTCCCGTGAATGGTTTTTGCATCTTTTACAGTTCGATTAGCCATATTCCTGTAGACTGTAGAGTACTTGCTACTTAATACTTACTGTCAAGTCTCAAGTGTCAATTGATATTTAAATGTTATACATTGTTGACTGTTATTTTTATAAAATAATAACAGAATAAAACCGAAGAAAATGACCAAGTCCATATCACTGCCGCTACACTATCACCACAGCAATACTCAGCAGTGTTACCGCAATAATAATTTTATAAGTCACAATAATAATTGTATGCTATTTAATAATAAATAATAATCGCAAATTTATTCAGGGTCTAAAACTCTAAAATACTAATTTATTTTAATTTTTAATACCATTAACCATTTCACTCGTTCATTTTCTAAGTCCAATATATGGCTAATCAAATTATTCCGAGTAGGTACAAAATAATATTTCTAATGTGTAAACTATTACCACAAGCTAACATTTTATACTATGTAAGTATAGTATGTCTCACGAAAGAACGGGACCGTTTCGCGCATGTAGAAAGAGCTCACCGTTTACTCCTCACCACGACCGCCGGCAACCACCAGCGACGACCGTGGTTGTAGTGCTGTGGTGCGGTGCGGCGTGGGGATGCGCAAGAATGACCGATTTTGGTCGAGACACGGTCCCGTTCTTTCGTGAGACAGAGTATAGGTAAGGTACCTATGTATCTACGAGTACTATATGTATGATTATTGATTTGTACCTATCAAAGTATCAAGTCCAAAGTAATACGTTACGGTGCTCTATTTTTTTCGAAACCTCTCGGAAAGATACACTTATTATTATAATAATTTTGATTTTCCGACAGCTTTTCACGTACGCGCTTGCCTTTGGGTTCTGGAAAAAATAAATATTATATCCTATTATAGTAGCATAATGTCCATACTCGGACACTAGATCTATACACCCGATGTTCCGGTCAAGGTTTATTGATAATATAATATTAGGTATTATAATTATTATTATAATGTATAAAGTATACTATCTACAAGACTATAATCCTTAGGACTCGGTGGCTGACACAGCGGCTCATTGTAAAATACTGAATAACTGGGCACTGGCACCCGCCACCCACATGCGTTGGCGCAACTAGCGGGGTACTAAAGGGTCTTTAGCATCCCTTGAGATTTTAGATCTAACTATTATAATCATAATGAAATAACATAAATTTTATGTTTTTAGTAGTATAGCACCAGCGCCATTAATATCCCACGTTTTAGAAGTCTAGTTKCGCCTATGCCCACATGGGCTATATGGCATAATCGGATAAATCTACCATTACGCTGTTYTGCAGAGTGCAAAATCAAATTTCGAAATTTATACTCTGTATAGCCAATTTCCAATACAAACAATAAATTAAGGATTACAGAATATTTTAGTTCCTAAACCTGATAATTTCCAAAAATATAAAAATTGTACTGAGGAAATATTTACTGTTACCCACCGCAACAGACTATAGTGCTATTAAAAATTCTGTATCGATGATTCAATATACAAACTAGATATTAATTAATTGATAATTATTATCAAACAACACCTACCAACTAATTAAATGTGGATTGTAATTAAGAATTGAGATTATGGTGATATATTGACATGCATAATATAATAATATTATACAAATGCCAGATTGCACGATTACTAAACATTTAATGAAAATGAATCAATTTCATGATTGGTCGATTAAATTAATCCATTTTTCATGCAACCCCGCATAAAGTGACTTAGCTTACTATGAAATACAGAATAATTTAATTAAAAAAATTGGTTCATTCAATATTGAGTTAACATTTAATAAACAACACATTTATATGTAATAACTTATTCTATGATACTAATAACTATAAGGTTATAGTTTTTAAATAGCAACAATTTGATATGAAAAATGTATCTCGGCACAGTTAGATATAAGCTTAGATAGGATCTAAGGATATACGTATAATAGATGTTCAGAGTTCAGATTGAATTATATTTTGTTTATTAAATACAAATTTGTTGTTAATTATTACATAATATTGATGTATTATGTACAATCATTAATATTTTATTAATATAATTAATAATTAATATAGATTTTTATAGGAAAATAGATAAAATAGAGCTAATAATGGATAAAACAAAAATGCTTACATTTCAAAATTTGAAACTAGTCAGTTGAAGATTTGGAGATGCTTAGTTAGTAGACAACGTTTAGTAATCCCTTATATTAAAACTTATACCAACACTGCARTATACAAGTAAATCATTAGTTTGTTTGTTACATAATTTTTTGGTTTTGTATAAATATACATTTGAAAATTGAACAAAATGCATTTCAACTYAAATATTCAAAAATGTTATCAATTAATAATTTATAAATAAATTAATTGTTAAACACTTAAATAAAGGCTTATATATTTACAATATTATAGTTTAATAATTTAACACATGAATATTAAAATTGTTGACAGTACAAATTATCAATGAATACAAAATATATGCTTTGATAAGAAAGACAAGAAGCAGAACCAATAATTTAYAGAAAATATTTTACAAAAATCTGGTTAGTTTAATAAGTATTAAAAACAAAACTTTTAGCTTTAAATTGCTTAAATGTTAGGAAAAAAAGGTTAGCATAATTATTGTTTATTTATTTTCAGTTTGAGCTTGTTGTAATTTCATCTCTAGTACTTCAGTAATAACATTCTGTAGCTTCTGTTTTTCTAAACCAATCTGTTGGATGCCTTCCATACGTTCCACAAGGTAATTGACACGTCTTTTGAAGTATTGAATTGCGTCATTAATTTCAAGCTTCAAAAAATATCCAGCACCTATGCACACCGTCACATGTTCGGGATTGACTAATTGTCCAGCAGCGTACATAGATTTAGTTAAAGGAATCATCATGGATGTGCCAGATGGTCGTCCTTTGGCACTTTCTAGCGCCTCTTGTGAACTAATATACCTTTTCTGTGCCATCTTCAAAGATTGTAACGAGTCTTGTATTAAACTCACTTCTTTGTATACCTGTTCCTTCATTTTTGCCAATTGCTGCACGTTCAAATTTTTTAGGTCGATCATTTTACCCGCCATTAGAGTTGAGATGGTCAAGACTGRATGAATTAAAGTGAGCGAATCTGTCGAGTGACCGGATCGCGACCGAATGATGTACTAAAAATTTTCGGTCAAACCAAATATTGAACTTAAGGTCTTTWGGCGGTTTGTTATGAAACTTTCCTTTCGGTCCTGATGCGACTGTCAAGTAATAGGTATTTACTATTTTTTTTTATAGTATCTTATTATTCGATAATCCCATTGATATTAAAGAATGGATAGGCCATTTATGCTTATCATACGGGAATCAATATGAAAATATTTTGAGGTTATAAATGTTTTAATATATATATATGTATATGTAATTATAGACGATGTTAGTGATAACGTCATTACCGTCATTCCAATTCCAAAGACATTGTAACAAACTAACAACTCAAAACCCAAACAAACATTTCACACATAAGAAAATAATATAGGTACAGTGAATAATTTGGAAATTAATTAATTAATTAAAATCAGG